AAAAAAAAAAAAATGCTGAAAATGTTTGACAAAAATTTTTAATAAATTTTTAGCAACAGAAATATGCATTTAGTAATACAACGGATACAGTTCAGAAATGAAAACTACACAGAAACCGCACATTTTTAACGGTAATTTCAGTGGGACCGCAACTGTTGAAAAAGTTTCAACATGTTTACATCAATGCTCTTCTAATCAGAGCTACTTGTTTCACCTAACAAATCTATTTTAAAAAAAAAAAATGTGAACTGTTAAACTGCAATAAAAAAAATTTAAAAGTTTTTAGATTTTTAATTAAATGACTAAAAATTCAAAAAAAAAATATAGTGAAACAAATATTTTTATTTTTAAAACAGCAACAATTGCAGATATGGCACTAATTTTTAGATTTCCCTAAGACAGAATATTATTTTTTTAAACCGTCTTTTTAGAATTCTTTCCCCCATTTTTTTTTTGTTGTTATTTTCTTTAATAAACTATTTGTTACAATAATCTTTTGAAAAAACTTCCAAAACCCGGAAAACAAATATATGGTTGCAAATGCAAAAAAATAAATAAATAAATAAATGATTAAATTTGCATTACTATAAAATTATGTAAATTGTCGTATTTTTTTGCTATAACTGTTAATCAACAAAAAAAAAAAAAAACTATAATAATACTGCAATAAAAAATGTGTGCAGTTGTTTCTAATAAAAGTGCGGAAAAAAAAAATTTTTTTTTTTTTCTAATATCCATCTGAGGTCACAGTAATTAAATAAACATTTTTTATAGCCTCACTGTGACCAACCATTATTGTTCGCAGCGCTAGCAAAAAACTGGTTTCAAAAAGTGAAATAGTGAAATTTTTCTTGTTTTAGCAAATACAATGAAAACAAATTTGGTTACAGGAGAAAAAAAACCATATAAAATGGCAACAATTTTAGCAGTTAAAAATTAACGAAGTAGTAACGGAAAGATGCAGGACGTCAAAATTGTTGCTGGTATTTCAGTGGTATGCAGTTGTGCGGCAATTTTTGCCTGTGTTTTCGTTATCCCCAATCTTTACTATTCCATTAATGAAGTAATATATTCAATATTAAAATATACAAAGTTAAATACTTTTTAATATTTTTAAATTAAAAACACATATCAAGTTAGAAATACTTTTCCTTTATTTTTTTCCAGAATTCCCAT